ATATACCCATTTAGGTTGTTTATATTTTCTTGATTAAATTTTGGTGGGTCATTTGTGTGTTTTCAAAAGTATTCCCTATATCTTGGGAATTTTATTGGTATTTTTTAAAGCCCCCTTTTCATCTGTAATTTTATAGATTTAGGTCTCATCTTTCTCTGGAGGGACTTGGCAAAGGATTAATTGATCTTGTTTTTCAAAGAGACAATCCTTTTTTTTTAATACCTTCTTTCTATTCTTTTGATTTCTGTTTCATTAAACTTCTGCCCCAATCTTTTCCCTTCCGTCCCAATTACTGCTCTTGGGTTTGGCTTGTTCTTGATTTTTTTAAGTCCTTGATGTGCGTCGTTAAATGCACATCTAAGTTTTTAGTGTAATCTCTCACATTCATTTAGTCTTTCCTCTTATAACTTCTTTTGTTGTATGCTTTCATTTTCATTTGATTCTAAGATTTAAACTTTTTTATTTCATGTGTATGAGTGTGTTATCTACATATGTGTGTCTGCACCCACAAAAGGCTAGAAAAGGGTGTCAGAGTTCCCCTTGTACTAGAGTTGTACATGTGTTTATGAGCATGTGTGTACTGGGAATAGAACATGGGTCTTCTGGAAGAGCAGCTAGTGCTCTCAACTGCTGAGCCACTTATTTCTCTAGCTTCAATTTAGAATTTGATTGTGTTGTCTGTAACCCACTGGTCATTCAGAAGCATGTTTATTTGCATAGTCTGCCATTTCTCTTGTTATTGGTTTGCAGCTTTATTCAATTATGATTTGATAAGATGAAAACAATTTTTTTTTTATTCATGGAGACTCACATTACGACCTAAAATGTGATCTATGTTAGAGAGGATTCCATGGGCTGCTTAGAAGAATGTGAAAAGGAAGACTATTATTCTATAGTTGTTCATTTGGCATATAGTGTAGACACTGACATTTCTTTATTGACTTTTAGTGAATGGCCTCTCTAAAGATTAGGAATAGCCTATCCCTGGCCCGGCCGTGGTGGTGCATGGGTGCTTTTAATCCCAGCACTCGGGAGGCAGAAGCAGAGGCAGGCGGATTTCTGTGAGTTAGAGACCAGACTGGTCTACAAGAGCTAGTTCCAGGACAGCCTCCAAAGCTCCAGAGAAACCAGGACAGTCTCAAAAAACAAAACAAACAAACAAACAATATATGTATATGTAATATATGAGGCTATCCCCATTATTTACCAGAATCCACTTGTCCTTTTATGTTTGCTAATGTTTGTTGTATAATTTGAGAGCCTCCATGTCTGATGCATATGTAGCTTCAATTATTCTGTCTTCTTGGTTAATTGTTCCCTCCACTGATATGTACTGAACTGCTCTGTGACTTCAGTGATTCTGGCTTGAAGTCTGTCTTATTCAGTACAAGTGTAGCTAGGCCAGCCTCTTTGGGGCTTCCATTTGCTGGGTACTCAGTTCTTATCCTTTCACTCTCATCTGTGTCTTTGCTGGTGAGGTGTGTCTTTTAGACAATGTAAAGGTCAGTCGTACTTTTTTTTTTTTTTTTTTTTTTTTTTGGTTTTACGAGACAGGGTTTCTCTGTATTGTTTTGGAGGCTGTCAGTCCAGCCTGGCCTCGAACTCACAGAGATCCGCCTGCCTCTGCCTCCCGAGTGCTGGGATTAAAGGCGTGCGCCACCACCGCCCGGCTGTCAGTTGTACATTTTAAGCCAAACAGTTAATACAGACCCTTAAATTGTAGAGTTAAGATTAGTTACATTTAGGGTAACTACATAGAGTTTGCTAATTTCTGTCAATTCTTTGGCTGTTTTCCCAGCTGATTGTGTTGTTTGTTACTTTCTTTCTCCCATATAACAATTAAGGGTTTGAGGGTTGATTGATTTGGTTATGATTGATCATTGCCTATTTTGTCTTCATTGATCTGTTTCTGTCATAAATGTATTACTTCCTGTGTTGTGGTGATTGATCATGTATTCCTTCTCTGTGATTTGAATTGAGATATGTTCTGCAATGCTGGCTTGGTGGTAATGAATTTCCTTAACTTGTGTAGGTCTTGCAGGAGCAGCAAGTTCTTTTAATTGCTTAACCACTTCTGTGGCTCCATTTCCTATGCTCCTTATTATCATTCTTTTAAAAGTTTTATGTATATGTATTCTTCAATTTGTCTCCGTCTTATCTTTTGAGAAAGGGTCTTTTACTGAACCTGATGCTGACCACTTGGCTAGACTGACTAACTGGAAAACTCTGGGAACCTTCCTGTCTCCACTCATCCTATGCCCTGTTGCCAAAGCATCAACCATACCTAGCTCTATTGCATGGGTGCTGAGGATCCAACTTCTGGTCCTCTCATACTTTTATGGCAAGCATCGTGACTAATTTAGCTCTCCATTCAGCATAATACACATTTGTGTTTGATTTGTTCTATCTTCTTATGATAGCATCTTTGGAATTGATCCCAATACTTAATACTGTATAAAGTAAGCATTTAAAGCAATTTTAAAAACTGTGTTACTGGTTTCCACAAATTTGGTATGTTTTGACTTCATTCAATTTACTTCAACCAAGTACACTTAGTTCCTTTTGATTTCATAAGCTGGGTAGAAGTGTGGTAGTTATATCTGTGGATATTTCCCATATTCATTTTTGCTCTCTCTTTAATTTATTAGTATTTTTGGTTATTTAAGATGCACCACAAATTATCTGCTCATTATTTCTAGTTATAATATTTCAAATAACTCTTTAATTATATTGTTATCAGAGGGTATATTCTGCATGATTTTATTCCTTTCAAATTTATTGAAACTTGATTTATATCTTTGCATTATAGACAAATAAATATTACATGTATAATCAAAAGAATGTTATCTCTCTGGATGTAAATTGTTTTGTATGTCAGTTATATTAACTTAATTAGTAAGTGTTGTCTTGGTTTTCTGTACTCTGATTAACTTTCTCTTGTTTTATGAATTATTCAGAAAAGGATTTTTAGTTCTGCAGGTAAAGTTATTTAGTGGCTTAGTTTGGTCTTTTTGAGATAGGCTTTCACTTGGTAGCTCAGGATAGCTTGGAAATCACTGTTTCCCTGACTAACCTTGCGCTTTGGCTGAACTCCTGCCTCATTTTCTCAAGTGCTGAGATTGTAGGTAGGAGATACCACCCCTAGCTGAAGTTTTAGTTTTCCCATCATGCACTTTTCTTGTTGGATTTAGGTCAATACACATATTTTTTTTTTTAGTGTATCAACCTAACATATCCTCATAAAATCTACTTCTTCTCTTGGGACATTTTTCCAAGGTAAAAAATCTATTTGTCTTACATTAATATAGCCTTCCTAATTCTCATATCATTAATGTTTACATGTCATAACATTTTCATGATTTATATCCTTGAATTTATAAGATCCTCTCTTGGTAACTTTGTTCATCTTGCTTTTTAATCCATCTCTGACCATGATTAGGGGATTTTCCCATTCATATGTAATGCCACAGTTGGCTTTAGGTCTGCTCTTTTCATGGTTGTATGCTATTTAGTCTTCTTTCATTTCTTTACTGTTTTCCTTTTATGCTTATCAAATATTGATTTTTTTCCTTTGTTAACTTTTAGCTGTAGTTCATTAATTTTCTTCCTATGTCTATTTGCAACATTACAGTAAGAATTTTTTTGTGTGTAGTGATTTACTTTGGGTTAGTACTTGATTTAATTCCAATGAAACAGCAATTTTCCTTCTCCTATCCCACCATTTCCCCCTGACTGTCAATAATTGTGAGGTATCTGTATATATATCCAGTTTGGATGGTCGCAGGTGAGCCTGAAGAAGTTTGATTGGAGTAACAGAAGGTGTGAGGTTCCTGGGTGAGCAACAAGGATGAAGGATTCATTATTCATAGGAATAGCATTACCAAAAGCATCTTCACATGTACTTTTTCCTCAGCCCCAAACTGCACAGGACAGCATAAGGGGCAAAGTATGATGCATTTCAGTAAAACAGCTCTCACAAACTGCCTCCAGGATAGGGGTACCACACCTGTTCTCAAGATTAGAAATTTCATGGTTCCATGCGTTTGGGAAATTATGCAGCTGTGTTTGTGTGTATCTGCAATATTGTTGGCATATTAATAGCTCTAGGAAGCCTACACAAAAGAAATACTAATTTTCTTTAAAGCAAGAATTCTCAAAATTATTTGATCACAGAGCAATCATTTTTAAAGTTTTGTTTTAATAGCCTACATTTGATATTAGTTGGGCAAAATCTAATCTGACAAATACTGGCCTATAAAGCAACAGAAATACAATAGAGGCCACCCATTCTTAAGGACTTATTTTTTTTAATTAGGTGTAAGATCTGTCTGCTTGTGGGTATGTGCATGCACGCACAGATGCTCATGAGGCTGAGGGGTGGGATCTCACTGTAGCTGGAATTCACCAATGCGCATGCTCAGAACTGAACTTGGGACCTCTGGAAGAGCAGCAAGTGCTCTTAACCCCTGAGCCATTGCTCCAGCCCCAAGGCTACCTATTTTTAAATTAGCATTAAGAAGCACTATACTGGGGGCCAGAGATTGGCCCACTCAGTAAGCACTTGCCATGTGAGCACAGAGACCTGTGTTTGATTCCCAATACCTGTGAAATAATCCATTACTATGTGTGCCTGGAATTCCAGCACTGAAGGGGCAGAAACAACAGGATCCCTGGAGTGCACTGGCCATCTAGCCTTGCCCAATTAATGAGCTCCAGGTTCAGTCTCAAAAAATAAGGGTTAAAGCAGTAAAGATTCATCGACCTGTGGCCCCCACACATATATACGTGCATGAACATGTTCACACCTATGTGCCACACATGTACACACCACACAGACACATACACAGACACAGACATACACACACACTTTGTGGAATTGAAAGGAAAGCTAATGTCATCAATTTCCTCTAAACTTATTTAATGCTCTTCTGTTTTGTTCAATAATGGAAGTCAAGTATACTGTGACATATTTATCGGTAACTTCTATTTTCTTTTTGTAGGGGATGTAATCAATCTTGGCGACAGACAGCTGACCGTTATGCACATGCCAGGGCACTCCAGAGGCAGTATTTGCTTACATGACAAAGACCGGAAGGTCCTCTTCAGTGGCGATGTGGTATATGACGGATCTCTGATCGACTGGCTTCCTTATAGCAGGATCAGCGACTATGTGGGAACTTGTGAGCGTCTCCTAGAGTTAGTGGACACGGGACTTGTGGAGAAGGTGCTCCCTGGGCACTTCAATACCTTTGGTGCCGAAAGGCTTTTTCGCTTAGCGTCTAACTATATTTCAAAAGCTGGAATATGCCACAAAGTGTCTACTTTTGCCATGAGGTCTCTTGCAAGTTTAGCCCTCCGTGTAACAAATTCTAGGACCTCACCCTAGTGTCTGTAAGATCATTTGCTGGCATTAACTGTGTAAATTAACCCAGTTCCTTTGTGTTGTTTAAAACAGTAACTAGTGAGCATTTCAAAAAGTGTATTTATATAATCATATTGTGTAATAGAGGAAAAGAGGATCATGAATGAGGAAGAAAAAAAAAAGCAGTCTTCGCTTTGTATCTTTTTCTGTTTCCCAAGGAAGAAGCCACTTAAATGAGCTTGTAGTTGGCCAGTTCTGTCATTTCAGTGTTTGCTCTGGAAATGCTGCGGGGTGATGTGGGCAGTAAGGATGCCCACCCCAGAGCATGAAGACCTACCCTTGCTCCTCTGGAGTGTGCTTCCCGGGTGCCCAGGCAGACTACCCTTGCTCCTCTGGAGTGTGCTTTCCGGGTGCCCAGGCAGACTACCCTTGCTTCTCTGGAGTGTGCTTCCCGGGTGCCCAGGCGGACTACCCTTGCTCCTCTGGAGTGTGCTTCCCGGGTGCCCAGGCAGACTCAAATACAGTTCTATGCTTGTACTTCACACTTGATTTTATTTCCGTATTTTATTTAAATATAAAGTTTCTTGGGTTTAGAAACGAAGTAGACCTCAATATAAATTAGCAGTTAGAATGACAGCTAAAACATCCCATATTTGTGATCCTGGATTTTAATGCCTCCTTTTTTATTTTTCTTATTCTTTGTATAAGACATAACATGCTATATAATTTAACTTATGAACAGTGCAATGATCTTTTGTCTTATTGCAAAGCTTTAAATATAAATTGCAGAGTGCTTCTGTAAAACACTACTGTTTGTTGTTTGTTATTGTGTAATAATATTTTCAGACATGAAAGTGAAATTCAAACATGTGTAACTTAACTTCAGATTGTCAGATTTCTTAAAAGGACACTGTCAGGCAAATTTGAAAATATACACATTGAGAATAATTTTTATTATATCCTATTTTAGTATTAATAGCGATTGTAAACAAAATTTTCTGATTAAATAGCAGCTTCAGTATTGTGTCATGTTTTACAGTACCAAAACAGTTCTGGATATCTCTGACATCTCAACGTAAACCATTCCTTTGATTGACATAGCATGTATACATACCACAGAAGGGTTTTTTAATTAATTGCAATGTATGTCTTATGTATTGACTAGAGCAAATGGCCTTCTTATCCTGATTCACAACACCTGTCCCACTCAGTATTCTTTGTCATGAACAAAAACAAGTCTATGTTTGTATGTCATAGAAACCATGAAACCACTATTCAGTGATACTAGGTAAAGTGTTTGGGTTTGGTGCTTTTAATAATAATTTATCAAAAAGTCTTTTGGAGTATTTCATAAATGTTTTAAAACATTTTACCACTACCTTTTTATTATCGACTTTTTATTATTGATATTCTAGACCAAACAGATCGACTTTTGGAAATCCAATTGCTTAATATTAGGAAAAAATTGCAGTTCTTGTTTCTGTCAAGTTATGTAACTTTTTTACCCTGTAAACACCTAGGTTCTTTACTGTTTTTTTATTCTTTCAGTAGGCATACGTGCACACATGTGAGTGCACACATGCAGACCTCCAGGCATACACACAGTCACACACACACACATACGCAGCACTGTGCTAAACAACATATGGGGTTTGGAAGTGAGAAAACACATTATAGCCAATGTTAAAGGCCCCAAACCCCAAAAAATAGCATAGGTAAGTTGAAGTTAACATAAATGATGCTTAAATGTGAAGGGTATAAGGAAGGGTGTGAAGTGTAGGGTAAGGGGAAGTGCCCTGGAAAGGGGGCTTTTGAGTCAGACGTGGAGGGAGGCTGGGAAAGATGTGAGCCCCAGGCTTCAAGAATTGCTGGATGGACTAGCCTATTCCTCGTGACCATATAAATTTAACTTTCTGAAATCTCGTTTCTTCTAAGTACCCTGTATTTAGCATGAAAATGACGGGTCTGTGATAGTGTATGTGATTGTATATGTATAGTTTCTTAGAGACAGATGAACTGAGCGGTCACTTGCCACCACGTAAACCTTTGTTGAGAGTCAGAAAGGAGACCATGACTGGCTCAGATATGCAGTGTCATGAGTGCTCTGTCATGGTCCTTCAAGATGGTGGGTCTCTTTCAACTGATGACACAGCACTGAGAAAAAAGATTGGTTCAGGGCAACTACAATCACTTAGTAAGCCTTAAATATAGCCATTATTTTTGTATCAGCAGCACAAAATAAAGCCAAAAGTCCTTAATCACTGACAGTTTTATCATATTTTAGTATTTATTTAAAATCAGGATAGAGTAGGCATTATGTTTTATTAGAAAAAATTTATTCCTGATGAGATATTTCCCTATTTATTAAAAGTGCAATTTTCAATATGTTATTATTTTTGCTGATTTCCCCAATCTTTCAATTTTTTCAATGTAAGATTGTGATATTCCAGTATTGTTACCATTTGAGAAGTATGGAGGTAAATTCATACTCATTTAGTATTCATGATACATTTTAAATTTGCATCCTAGTTCTAGCACCAAGAGTTAGTTGACTAGTGTAATATACATCACGAACTAGGAACAAAGCTAGTAACTGAACACAGGTGTGTCTGCTACCAAACTTAGCCCTCTCTTAAACCTGCACAATCTATAGAATTGACCACATATATTTTTACTTTGTAACATGTCACATATTTGAAGAAGTAATCAAATAATATCAAATCCTAATAGCATTTTTAGAGTATAAAAATATATATTTTCACCCTGACAGTGACCCTTGATTTATGATTTTTGGAAATAGACTATAGTGAATGTAACTCAAAGTTGTCAAAATGTTAGACATTTCAAATTTTTTTCTTATTTATATTACTAATAAAGAACTTGTGGACTTTCACTTTCCTTACTTAATGTCTCCTTTTAAGTGAAAAGCTTAAAACAAACTGAAACCTTGTGTGCTATGCTGATGTAGTTGAATAAATGGTTATGTGTATTTGTTCTTATATAGATAGTAACATGAATGTGACATGCAGAAATTGTCCTATAATTTTCCAATAAGTGTATGTAAACTTTGGTGTGGTAACTATTAAAGTGGCTATTTATTTCAGTGTTCAAGTGGTGCTTTCTTATATAACATTAACAACTTTCTTTTTAATATCTTAGAAAAATGTACCATGTGAAATTTCAAATTACTATTTGAAAATATACTATGTGAAATTTTGTTTTACTAAGTGAAAGTTTCAGAAGTTCTTATCAAATAAGTCTGGGGAAAACAATACAGAACCCAGAAGAAGCAAAACACCTGCTTAGTACTTCATCAATGAGAATTCCAATCAGTGGATTCAGTACCATTACAGTTTCTCCTATGGAAGACAAAGGTTCATGCCATCATAAAAACTAATCCAAGAAAAACCCAAACACACACACACACACACACACACACACACACACACACACACACAAAATGAATCCCAAGTTGATTGAAAATGTACATGTGTAAATGAAAACCACACATGTATGCAATAGAAGAGGAGGGGATGCATTACATTAAAACAAGCAATCACAACAAAATCTTCAGTGACTTAACATTATATGTCATAAATAGTGGAGGGGGAAGCAAGGGGAGAGAACGATGAAGAGAAGGAAGAACAAAGAGTAAAAACCCTTAAAATATATAAAGAGTGCTTACAATTCAATAAGAAAAAGTTAAGGTGCCATAGGGAACAAAAACTTTTCCTCTGCTCTATTTTTAGATTCTGTAGCTGAGGTCAAGATTTAAGTCAACAAAATTCTGAGAAATAAAACTGCAGACCATGCAGTCTTATTTCGTGTGAGTCGTTTTACATATACGAAGTTGAGAGGTAGCTCGGTGATGTAAGAGCACTTCCAGAGGACTTTCCTTCAGTTCCCAGCACCCATGCTGGGCAGCTCATAACCAGCTGGAACTCCAGTTTTGGTGAGAGATCTCTTGCCCTCTTTGGTGTTTTTAAGACGTCAGCAGCTCACTCTCACAATCACATACATTTATACATAATTAAAAATAATAATTTAAAATTTTCTTATTTATATGTATATACCACATGTGTTTGGGTATCCATGGAGGCCAGAAGAGGTCATCAGACCCCTGGAACTGGAGTTACAGGGGCTTGTGAGCTGCACTATGTGGGTGCTGAGAACTGAACACAGGTCCCCTAGAAAAGAAGCAAGTAATTCTAACCACTCAGATTTCTTTCCCATCTCCCAAAATAAAACAAATCCTTTTTTCTTTTCTTTAATATAACTTATTTATATTTTATTTGTATTGGTGTTTTTTGGGCGTGTATGTGTGAGGATGTCACACTTGTAGTTATAGACAGTTGTTAGCTGCCATGTGGGTGCTGGGAATTTAACCTGGATCCTCTGGAAGAGCAGTCAGTGCCCCTAACCACTGAGCCATCTCTCCAGCCCCAATAAAATAAATCTTAAAACATTTAGAAAAGAAATGAAAACCCACAGAAAAAAACCTAAGCTACAGGCTTACAAACTGAACCAACAATGATGAATCATGAAAATATAATAAAGAGAAAGAGAATTGGGTCAGAGAGGTCAAGTTGTAGGGACCTGATATGGTGAATCTTTACACATTTTATATGTATAAGATGATGCATCTTCAGGTGGACTAGTTTTCTTCATATTTTGACACCTTTTATTGCATAAATTGCTCTGATTAAATCTACTAGTCTTATCTCTCCAATTTTGGGGGGCAAGTTTTGAATTTTGGTGTAATTAAAAAATTTTTTTGGTTGAAATCTCCAATAAAACTTGTTGACTATAAATTCCACAGTCAAGATGCCAGAAAATTTGGTGAGGGCTCATTTCATAGTTCCTAGACTGCTGCCTTCTTGCTGTGGCTACAAGGATCAGACAGCATAACAGATTCTGTGTCCCTGTAATGAAGGAATCATTCACAGAGTCAGACCTTCGTAATCTATTCAACTACAAAAGGCTACATTTCTGAGTGTCACCATATGTGGGATATGTTTCAACGTGAACTTAGGAACATACATTTTGTCTACAGCACAATTCTCGTGACTTTTCCATTGCTCTCACAAGCATGCACAGTCAAGCACACAATGTATTCTGACTCTCCTTTAAAACGGCGAACATGTTCATGATATGACTTAATCTTCTGACTTCCTATCTCTGACTTCAGTTTGCTTCTCCTGGGTTCTATCATATCAACTACTGAAGTGCTCTCTCTCTCTGTCTCTCTCTCTCTGTCTCTCTCTCTCCCTCTCCGTCTCTCTCTCTCTCAGCACTATTGATAGAATCCTTTCTTTAAAACAATAAGTGTGTTCTTTTGGATGACAGCGTCCCTCTCAAAGGCTCATATGTTTAAATGCTTGGTCCCCAGTTGGTGGGACTCTTTGGGAAGGGTTAGGAGGTCGGGTCATGTTGAAGGATGTGCATCTCTGAAAGAAGGCTTTGAGATTTCAGAAGCCCATTCCATCCCCAGTTAGCTCCTCTGCCTTCTGCTTGTGGATCAACATGTAAGCTTTCGGCTAGTGCTGAGGTACTATGCCTGCCTGCTTGCTGCCATGCTCCCAACTATAAGACCCATGGACTCTATCCTCTGGAATCATGAGCCCAAAATTAAGTGCTTTCTTTTACAAGTTGCCTTGGCCATGGTACCTGTCACATCAATAGAAAAGTATCCAAGACAGAAGTGGGTTATTGCTGTCATAGGCCTGACCATATGTTTTTTGTTTTTGTTTTTTTTGTTTTTAGAGAAATGTGGAAGACATTGAAACCTTGGACTAGGAAAATAGTTGAACACTGCAAGTGAACACTTCCAAGTAGGAAGACAATAGTTCTGAGAGCAATGTGGTTTATGAAGGCCCAGCTCAAGGAGTTTGCTTTGTTAGCAACTGGGCTAGATACCTTTCTTATGGTATTTTGGCAAAGAATATGACTGCTTTCTGCCATTGTCATAAGAATCTGTCTGTGGTTAAATTGAAAAGTTTTGGACAAAGAACCCAGTCTTGACTCTGTTGCATGGTTATTAGTAATCCATGCCATTCTACAAGGCAAAAAGAAATACAAAATATACAGTTTGCAGAGAAAAAGATTATCATAGAATCCAGTGTTGGAGCCAAAGCATGTGCTAAAAGCTTTAAGGAGAGGCAAGTTGCAAAATGGAATAAAAGGAGTGTGCACTCAGGCAAAACCCCACCCAGCTACCCTGCAGTGTATGAAGGTAAAGTGTCACGACCACCTCGACCAGCAAGGAAGACGCGACTCAGGAATCCTTCTCACAAGCAGTTTATTCAGGACCTTGAACAAATCTTCTGACCCCAGGGAGTGCCCGCCCACATCTTAAAAAGGCCCTTGGGCAGCCAACCCCGGTAAGCCATGTGGCAACAGCAGATAGGTCCACATACGAGGAAGCAAGCCTGATATCCAGCCTTGACCAAATAAGGAGTTGTTTATCACAGAGAGCACTTGCTATCGGGCTAGCAGAGGTGGAAGCCAGCACCATCTTAAGGGTGCGGCACTTCGCAGCTCTCTACAGTTCCCCCTTTTTGTTTTTATATAACAAAGGTGGGTGAAGATAGAGGCCCGATCCCTGGTGTGCAAAGCTGGGATAATGTACAGGTGACACCTACAGACTCTACACCTATGGTGACCCTGACCCATCCTGTACCTGTTTTCCCAGGGGAAGGATCTTGGGTACAACCTTCATGCAATCGGGCTTGTCTTCCGAGGGTAGCTTAACTGCTTACAAGCAAACCCTCGTGCAGTGCTTAGCCTTGCACCCCGACTGGAGAAAATTAGTTTTTAAAGGTAGCCAGCCAGGCTGAGGGGGACTGACCTTCTTCAATGGCAGCGAATGCTTGCATGACCATCATTGCATTATGGCGCTGATTAGACTGAGCATTACAGAAGCACCACAGGCATACCAGGGAGGCTATGGCCATCAGGCCAAGTAGGGACCCTATTCCCACCCATTCCTTTAGGTGATCCATGGCAGAGTTTAACCAGGACATCAGGCCATCAGCAAGGGACAGGTCAACTCGAGTGGAATTCACATGCACAATAGCCATCCGGAGTTCTCTCATGGTGTCTTCAAAATCAGACGTCCAATTCTGTAGCAAAAACTGAGACAATCTTTTAGACAGGTTAGCTGCATGAGTGAAATTTTGATATTGTCTGGTTACAAGAGGATGAGGCTGCAGCATCAAAAGCAGCTGATGACTCTAGAAAATAAACTAAAGTCAGAGATGGATGAACACCGTCTCAGATTAGAAGGGAATTGGGCTACAGCCCACACCAGCACTGGCCCTGAGGAATCAGAAAATGAGGATGATGGCTACGATGTGCTTAAGCCACCTGTGCCGGCTGTCTAATGTTAGCTCCTCCTTTGGCTGGTTACCTCTGGATGGTGATCCTACAACAAACTTCAATGAGAGTTCCCAAGTTCCTGAGAGGCCCCTAAACCATTCCCTCGGAGAATCAACTCTGAACGAAAAGCAAGTAGCGGTCAGCAAGGTGGAGGTGCCACTGCTAACCCTGCTTCCACGGCCGCCTCACCACAGCTCTCGAGTGAGATTGAGCGTCTCATGAGTCAGGGCTACTCCTACCAGGACATTCAGAAAGCTTTGGTCATTGCCCACAACAACATTGAAATAGCCAAAAACATCCTCCGGGAATTTGTTTCTATTTCTTCTCCTGCCCACGTAGCTACCTAGCACATCTCTTCCTGCCGTGACTTCAGAGGACCCATGAGCCAGGCCTCCACTCAAGGAGCACCCAGGAAAGCAGTGGCTTCTTTTGGGACGTCCACAGTGAGGTCCCACCTTTTCTGTGGGTATTGATCGACACCCTGGTTCCAAGATTTCAAAGCAGTAGAATGACTATGGAGCAGCTAGTGTGTTTACTGTTGTGTTGGTCTTAAGAGTGTGTTTGTAGTTCTTTAGTCCCCATTAGGAGAGGGTGGATTTTTCAAAAAATTGAAAAACACAATAGCATACAGTATCTAGACTTTTGTGTATTTTCCATATTGTTCCTCAGTCCCATGCAAAATCAAGATCTCTCCCTAACTTCCAAAAATCTTAGATTCTTAGAACG